TCCCAGATTTGCTGTTTAGGGAGATTTATCTCCCAGATTTGTTCTTAATGTTCTGCTAATGGTCTATTCAAACTACTGTTTTGTTATATTTTGTTTAGGATAAATCCATATTTTGATGGAACATTATTGTCTTCTTTCTTGTTCTGTAGAACATTATTTTACAATGCTAAGGCTTTAGATTTCCATGTACAAATCTGATTCTACTTCTTTTTTGTGCTCATGGATCTGCCTCACCTGTCGAAATGTGCTTTATAAAATGAAATTGAGCTAGCTGGAAGCACTTCAGGTTTATATTTATGAATATACTTGAGAATTTTGAAAAGCTTAATGGTGGTTCACGTATTCAGATATTCTTTATATATCTTTATGGGGGTTGATAATAGGGGGTGACGTATCCAGAAGCTCCATATTCAAATATTCTTTATATATGTGCCTCCATTTGAGATATGCCTTGTGTTCTTGCTGGAGAAGTGTTTGTTAACATATTTTATTCAGTATATTATGAGTAAAGCTTGATTTGAGAGATTTATGCATCTTCCATGATTTGAGAGATTTATGTCTACATAAGAGCTGTTTTGAGCACTATTTTGGAGACATTTTAGGGTTGTTCTGTGTGATGTTTTACAGAAATTAAAAATATCTTTTTAGGATCGTTTTGCACACTGTTTTGGAGACATTTAAAACATTGTTTTATGGCTGTTTTTGAGACCCTAAAAGCATCATTTTAGAGCTGTTTTGGAGACATTGTTTTGCAAATTACAAAAATCACTTTATAGATGTTTTGAGCATTGTTTTGGAGACATTTAAAATATGTTGGATCAACTAGTCGGTATTCTTGCTTTAGCGCTCGATATTCTTGCTAGTTGCTTCAGTGCTCGATATTCTTGCTTGGTTGCTTGGAAGGCCACCGAAACGTCAATTTTTAGTATATTTTCTTTAACATTTCTAGTTTATCTTCATGCTTGCCTATTAGGTTAAATTTTCATAATTTTTTTTAGGTTTATTTCTTCTTTTTTGAGTGACGTATGTTAAATGTAGATCTATTTGTCTTCATATTGACTATACGTTTATTTCTTTGAGTGAAACCTAGGTTTTTTGAGTGAAACCTAGGTTAATAATGACTGTTTGTCTTCTTTGGGAGTGAAGTATATCTGTTTGTCTTCATATATATGTATGCTTCTTTTCATAAAGCAGGGCTTGGTGACAAGATATTTGCAGAAGCAGCTTTAGATTATTAGAAAGGATTGTATCTTCAATGAGGAACTTTTATTCGGCTTCTCAGGCAACATATATAGTCTTGCAAGTTTGCCATTAAATAGGGAGGACCATGTGATGTTTAAATGCTTAAGAATTCATTGAAACAGGGAATTTTAAATACATATTAGGGATGAATCATTTGAAGAATTCTGTGGTATATATGTAAGTGCATAAGAATGCGGGATGATGAATCAGATTTGCTGTTTAGGGAGATTTATTTCCCAGATTTGCTGTTTAGGGAGATTTATCTCCCAGATTTGGTGTTTAGGGAGATTTATCTCCCAGATTTGTTCTTAATGTTCTGCTAATGGTCTATTCAAACTACTGTTTTGTTATATTTTGTTTAGGATAAATCCATATTTTGATGGAACATTATTGTCTTCTTTCTTGTTCTGTAGAACATTATTTTACAATGCTAAGGCTTTAGATTTCCATGTACAAATCTGATTCTACTTCTTTTTTGTGCTCATGGATCTGCCTCACCTGTCGAAATGTGCTTTATAAAATGAAATTGAGCTAGCTGGAAGCACTTCAGGTTTATATTTATGAATATACTTGAGAATTTTGAAAAGCTTAATGGTGGTTCACGTATTCAGATATTCTTTATATATCTTTATGGGGGTTGATAATAGGGGGTGACGTATCCAGAAGCTCCATATTCAAATATTCTTTATATATGTGCCTCCATTTGAGATATGCCTTGTGTTCTTGCTGGAGAAGTGTTTGTTAACATATTTTATTCAGTATATTATGAGTAAAGCTTGATTTGAGAGATTTATGCATCTTCCAT